ATGTTATTTATACTAACTAGTTTAAAGGTCTGCCTATATATGTTCTGTAAAGGAGGTAGTATAATAAGCTTAAGTTTCAGTCTGTATATTATTCATTGATTAATATATTTGTTAATTCTTTATTTAATCCATAAATTCACTTGTATTTTTTGTTCATAGAACTTCAATGAGATTTCTTGTTTTTCGAGGAGATAAATTGTTCATGCAGATCGAAATGAAAGTCTACGTCTCTGTATTTTACATCAGACAAAACAACACCCTGGAAATGTACAACTTTAATGACCAAAACTAGAATCAATAACCAAATAAATCTATCAGAAAACCAATGAATATGACTGCTTTTAAGAATTGTTTAGAGATGAATAAAAAACATGTATTTGCCTATGTAATTATAGTATAATCATAAAGCCTCCTGTCAGATGATGAAGGTTTACAGGTAAAGAAATGAGGAGGGGAAGCTGATCTCAGGTCAGCTTCATGTATGTAGTGTAAACAGTTTACATACATTATTCACAAACACATTGTTTAGGATATTACATTGCAATGCATCTCTCCTAATGTGTTTATTGCAGTTTATGTGATACATTATCTAAACTCTTTTATTTGTTTCCCTCTGTCTGTTTACTGTTTACTTACAGTATTACTACAGCACAACTTCAAAAATGATGAATAGCTGAAGAATAGTTTAAAGTGCATCTACATGAAAGGCAGTGAAAGTCCAGAGTTCACTTCAGTACATTAGATTATATTCTCTTCAACATTAAACTGTATTTTGCACTAAATATAACAGCACACTGATGAGAAGGTTAGCAGTTAGCTTAGGTGTGTGTGTGTGTGTGTGTGTGTGTGTGTGTGTGTGTGTGTGTGTGTGTGTGTGTGCGTGCGTGCGTGTGTGTGTGTGTGTGTTTACCTGAGCGCTCTTGAAGAACATGTTGCGTCTGTTTCCGCTGTTGGAGTGAGAGAACATGTCTCGGAGTGTCGTCCTCTTTAAATCCATCCATCAATCATCCAATCTCTCGTTTCTGATAATCAATAACTCGGAATCCGCGCGACACTTCCGCATTTCTCTACAGCCTGCCGCTCCGTTTGTGAGCAGGGCAGGTAAAGGTGTGCCGTGTCACCTGTGGCCGCCGACGTCATCGTTCACAAGACACAAGACAAGCAAAAAAATTGCTGCATTTAAGTTCCACAAAAAGCTGGGGAAAAATAACGTCTTCATATTTAGCATTTATTAAAAAGAATAAAAATGTATTTATTAATGACTTTGTAAATAAAACATTAAACAATGAGTAGCCGACCTGCTGTTTAGAGAAAGTGTTAGGAGACAGGTTGTTTCTATACAAGGGTAACTACATGAGGAGGTTTTTAAAAAAAATTAAATACTTTATTTATAGATTTTGTTTTACAATACAGACATACAAGATGGACAAGAACACCCAGTAGTATCACACAACAAGAGAGGCAAGGGGCACACCTCTAGATGTCCAAAGCTGAAAGCAAAAAGTAATTCAAAAAGAGACTGCCCCTCTTTTAAAAAACGGTCCTGGGTAGAAAAAAAACAAAAACACAAAACAAAAACAAAAAAAACACACACATATGGGTGGGAGTCAGTCAGAATCATCAGTCAGTATGCCAAATAAGAAAGAGTTTGCACAGAATATAGACATAACATAGCAGCACAGACCATAATGAATACATTTAAGTTTTATCCAACAACGTCAGAAAGGGTTTCCACACCTTTCATATTTTTCATTTCATATTTCATATTTAATTTATTTTCTCATTTCAGTGTATGGTTTCAACACAATAAAACACAACATGAAGTATTTTCTCATAATACTGAAACACTGTTCATGAGCAAACAGGAGCTGGAAGAATAAAACTTATAATACCTGCCCCTTTCCTAATAACACAAGATACTGTTTAACAGAATAAGATGGCTAACCTGTTGTTTTCTCTTTCTTTCACAAAACAAAAAATAGATCAACAATATAGAAACAATCAAATACAATCAGTTAGATTAACTCAAAACATTCATCATTTCCCAGAATCTTTTCTTTATACATTCTTTTAAATTGAATGATACTTTTCAATACTTTACACTCATGTATGTATTCATGTGTTCACTTACATTCATTTATATTGTCTTTCAAGTTTTCATTTGCATGTTTGCATTCATGTTGATTCTTGTTTACATTTACACACTCATTCATGTTCACACTCGTGTGATGATTCTGTTAGGTTTTGGTTTTGCTGTAGGGTTTTTTGTATTTGTTCTCTCTCTCCTTCTCCTTCTCCCCTTTCTGTTTTCTTTCTCCTGCAGGTATGTGTGTGGCAGGGGGCGTGGCTGGCTTCTCCACTCAGCAACAGACGAGGCACACCTGGCTCCACTCAACTATCATCATCTTGTCTTTAAAATTCTGGTCTTTACTCCACTACTCTGCCAGATAATTCCGTGTTGTTCGGTAGTGTCTCTCAGTGATTATTTCCTGTGAATTATTGAGCTGCTTATTTTCACAGTATATCTTTGTGCTTTGGATGTGTTTTTTTTGTTCTTAACTGGGCGGCAGTATCTCAGTCTGTAGGGACTTGGGTTGGGAACTGGAGGGTTGCCGGTTCAAGTCCCGGTGTGGACCAAATATGGAAGTTGGTCTGGTAGCTGGAGAGGTGCCAGATCACCTTCTGAGCACTGCTAAGGTGCCCTTGAGCAAGGCACCAAAAACCCCTCCCCACCACCAGCTCAGGAGCGCCTGCTGTGGGCAGCTCCGTCACTCTGACATCTCTCCCTTAGTGTATGTTCATAGGATCCTGTTTGTGCATGTGTGTATTTCGGCCTATGTGTGACTTACAGAGTTTAAAAACAGAATTTCCACTTGCGGGGATCAATAAAGTAAATCTTAATCTTAATCTTTTCTTGTGCTCAGGTACTCCAGTGTGCCTCACCGTTCTCAAGTTGCTTCGCCTGACTTTCCTGCACCACCTTGTTTATTATTTTTCTGGCCAGCCAGCTCCCTGCCTTCACTGCCTGCTCTTTTTGAACATTAAACAGGTTTTTTTGTTACATTGTATATCTGTGTCAGTCTCTGCTTTGGGGTTTTGATTTAAACTGAAACCATAACATTGTGTGTGTTATGTGTTCATTCATGTTATCATTCATGGTTACACTACTTGTGTGTATTCATGTGTTTATTCTGGAGTCCTTCCTGATCTGCTCCACCCCTACACCCCTTCCTGCTGGCTCTGCTCCTCTGATGCTAACCTCCTCTATCTAACACTCAGGAGGAGCTAGCAGCGAGATAAAGGCGACAGAGCCTTTACAATATGCTTCCCTCTCCCTCTTGAACTTTCTCCCAAAATATTTCAGAGACTGAACTGACCTGCCAAGCTATAAAGCACTGATCAGAACCCACCCTCTCCATGGGGGGACTAAAGAAGAAGATCTGTTAAGCTCATTACTTTTTATCCTAGCAATAGAACCACTCTCCATTGCCCTCAAATGCAAAAACGATATACAAGGTATAACAGGTGGTGGGGTCATGCATAGTCTCACTTAACTGTGGGAAGAATTGGGAGACTATCAGGATACAAACTTAATTTAAAGGCTTTATGTGATTTTTCACACTTAAATATAATATAAATCAAGTATATCCTCTGAAAATAACTCTGTGAGTCATGACTGTATACAATGGGTGTAACACCCGAGTCCCACTGTCTGTGATGTTTTCAGAGTTTTCAGAGTCCTATCTTCACTTTGTTTACATCGCCTGGATGGCCGGCTGACTCCTCCCCTCGTATAAAAGTTGTTTAATTGAGGGACTAGAGAAAAGAAGAATAACATACTGTACTCACTGCTTAACTGTGTTTCTAGATCACGCTCATTTCAGGTAAATTTACATGCAGTGTGAAGATACGAGCTTAATAAAGATCGCTAGCATTAGCATGCTAACACAACAATGCAGCGAGAGTTGTTTTGGTTTCATGCTGGTGCTCAAGGGTGACATCTGCTGGATGAAAAAAATCACATATAAAGCCTTTAAACAAAAGTGAGTACTTCCCCATCAACAACAAAGCTGAAGAATATTCCAATCTGCCATTTAACCTTACAGCTCACTCTTTTGGAACAGTGCAAAAAGAACATTGACAATGTTTATTTAACCTTTATCTCTTATTGGTAGAACAAATTCTGTGATGAACATTGTGCCAAAATTCTTATATTTGTTTTAAGCCATAGCTACCTTCAAAACACTAAAATCTTTCAGAACTATAAACAGACGATCTCTTTTTTTGGCACAAAGAAACCCGCCTGCATAAGAAAATGATTTATGGAAAGAAAAAAACAGAACGGATGGGCTCTCCCTACCAAACCTGTGCTCATATTGTTAGGCTGCAAATGTGAGAGGTATATCCCTGTAGTTAAAGGACTGGATTGGTATAAGACCCCTGCGTGGCTCCAGATTGAAATAAACACAAGCAATCCACACTCTCTCCCTGCTCTGCGATGTGAATCCTTACCTTCAGAAGAATGTCAATGATGGAAATGTAACTGTAACTCAGTCATTATGTCTGTTTGTATGCATTTGTCTATGCAAGAAAATGATTAGATTTTTGGATGTTGGGTTGTTTGTCCTTAATGTTGCACTTATTTAACATTTTAGTGTTTTGTTCTGTTATATACAACCTGTTAATAAGTAAAGTCTTAAAAGAAACACCTTTCACAATGATCCTCTTTGTAAAAAAATAAAGAAAAAGTCCTGTTTCCTTTTTATTGATTTTGTTTCCTTTTTATTATGTGACTGTGAAGTGTCGGAGTATTTTTAAAAGCTCTATCAAGTAAACAATTATTATTTGTAATATTTATATGTTGATTCATGTTATCAATCATGTTCAAACATGTTTACATTGATGTGTTTTATCATAATGAAGAATATCCTGTCCTTGGTTAAATGAGTTGGGAGGGATCGTACCAACTGGACAGAAGAACACAGAGAAAAGAGATCCAGTGAAAGTTCAATGTATTTTATTTCTTTGAATAGTTAAACTGGTTTCTCTGGTAACAAAAGAAAGTGGTAGCAAAGAATGTTCCATAAAGATATTGATATCTAAACCATACAGGTAAATGATCATAAACATTCTTTAGTCATCTAAAAAATGAGCGTATAACTTTACCACAATTATGACTAAAATGCAGTGAACACTGTACCAACATATTTTAAAGGAAACTTTAAAGACACAGTTTAAACTATGGAGGTGATGAGTCCTCCACATGCTGCAGCCGAAGCTTCAGGAGTGACACGTTCAGTCTCAGGCTTACTTCAATCAATCTTAATTTGTATGGCACCAATATATAACAAATGTTATATAAGGACACTTTACAAGAAGCATTTAAAAGACCTTACGTTTTGTTTTGTAATATTACAAAGAGGAGGTAAAAGACCTTACTCATTGTTACTGTATGTTACAAAGACCCAATGTTAATCCATCATGAGCACAGAGCTAAGCAACATTTAGCAAACAGTGGCAAGAAATAACTTCCTTTTAAGAGGCAGGCGTCTCCAGACTTATGATGAACAGCCATCTGACGAAACTGCACCGGGCTTGAAAAATGTCTCAATGTTTGTCTATTTTTAAAGATACAAAATGTTATCAGATGATGAAACCCTCCTCTGCAGTGGATGTAAAACTAGTTTATCTTAAGAGACACTTTTCTTTAAACAGAGTTTGGGTTGAGCAGGAGAAGTGTGCAGCTCATGAGCTTTCAGGACAAACTGACATGTGGAGCTGATTAAAGACGCACGATAGTGAACCTCAGGGTCCGATGTTTAACATAGCCATTTCGCTGATGTGAAACCAATGATTTTTTCAAGACTACTTTTGGTGTAAGACTCTCACAATGCCAACTTTTTCTCTATGACCAAGAAAACAAATGCGGGTGACTTCCTCCTCCTAACTAAAAACACCTTCTCTGAAATAGTAGTTATTTGTACATTTATGACACAACAGATAAACATCGACTCATGCCACATTATTTGCTGATGAGCCGTTTATGACGTTAAAAAGATGCATCCCTAGAGCTAACATTAGCTTTGATTGGACTTGGGAGCAGCTTCTGAAGGAGGGGATGTCGTCTTGTTTGAGTGTCATGTTGGTGTGTAATAATCACCCTGTGTGCATCATTCACGCTTGTGTTTATTCTGAACACATCAAAGAAATTACAGATATTTGTGCTGACTGACGCTTTCAGACTTGGTGACATCACAGCTGGGTGGGGCTACAGGTAAGACAGGATTCATTCTTGACTCTGCCCACACAGTCATCGGTGCAGCAGGTAAACCCGATTGATCAATGAATGAGATCATTTAGAGGAGAACAACATAACAACAGCAGAGTTTTATATTTCAGAGAGAGAGCTCTGTTCAGTACTCCTCCTTCACTGAACTCCTCCTGTAGTTCTTACTGCTCATCCTCCTGAAGGAGGTGAACACAGGACCAGACTCCACTTTCTCCTCTTCCTCCTCCTCCTCCTTTTCTCTCTGTCTCTGTCCCTGCTCCTCCTCCATTGTTTGATTCTCAGCGTGTTTTTCCTCCACCTCTGTTCTCCTTTCTCCAGTCTTCTGTGTCTCCCTGCCCTCCACCTCCTCTTCCTGCAGATGACTAAGAAGCGTCTCCTTCTCTCTGCTCCTCACCATAGGTTGTTCTCTCTTCGGCCTGCTGGGTCTGCTGAAGATCATCTTTTTCTGGAGGTTACAGGGGAAGGAGTCACTGCAGCTGCGCTCTGCCTCCTCCTCCTCTTTCTGCTTCCTGTCCTCCTCCTTCCGCTCCTGCAGAGTGGACAGGAAGCTGAGGGCAGCCCTGGTGTTACCTTGGTCACTTGTCTCACTGGTGTCCTCCAGGCTGTAGTGGGTCCAGCGCTCTGGATTAAGCAGGTAGTCAGGGGTTCCCCTCCTCTTGACCGGGTTGGGGGGGCTCAGTGGAGGCTGGGTAGTTTTCCTGCTGGGGGGCGGAGCCTGAGGCCTAGCAAAAACGCCATCTTTCTGCTGGTTCACAGAGGAGGAGGAAGAAGAGGAAGAAGAGGAGGGGCAGGAGGAGGTGGAGGAGGGGGGCCGGGCCACATTGTCCAGACAGTCAAAGATGCTTTGGGAGCGGTTGGAGAAGGCTGAGCTACCTCCTCTCAGACTGAACTGAGCCTGATTTCTGAGGCCAGCAGGAGCACAGCACACCTCTTCATTATCATCATCATCATCACTGTGGTCAAGCTCAGGGTCAAACGGCGCCATGGTGGGTCTCTCCTCAGGCTCAGAGTCATCACTGACTGACAGCTCGTCTTCATCGTCTCCGAGGTCAACACCTTTTTTTTTTTGATCACACATCTCAGCACGACACAGCAGCAGGCTGAGAAAGGGGGAAGACAAGGATGAGAAGAAGCAGACGAGGAGAGAGATAGAAAGAGGTGAAGGGGAAAGAGGGGGAGAAGGAAGACAAGGAAATAATAAAGAGGATGAGAGAGGAAGAGGAGGAAGAAGATGAAAGGATAAAGGAAAATTAAGTTGAGGGGGAAACATAGAAGAAGAAGATTAGAATAAGGAAGAGAAGAAAGAGGGAAAAGAAAAGGACATATATATGAAACTGTATTTTCTTTATTCATTAAAGTGAATCTGAGTTCATAATTTCCTCCACAGACTGAGCACATGTGCTCTCAGTAAACAGATCAGTACATCGTAACAATGAGTTAAAGGTACTGTATACTGACATTCACTTTTGGTCTTTCATGTAAAACCATATAAAGAACATTTTCCACAAAATGACACCCTTGTGTTTCCAAGTTCATTAGTGTCAGCTGGCAGCTCAAATGCCAATTCAACAGACACCACAAACATCTCGTGTATGTCTGACCTGCTAGTGACGGCTCAAATGATGAAAGAAAGTTAAGAATTTGTGAAGAGTTTGACAATTTCACTGAGAATCAGCTGATTCGTTTTGATCAGTAAGCCATAGACAAGCTTTTGTGCAGATTTGTAGAAAAATGTACATACTCTTTTGAATATTTATCAAAACAATGCAATTTGCTTGTGTTATTGAGAAATTCTAATCCGTTTTGAACGACGACCTAATTGTTGAGAGATTTGAGCTTAACGTTTTGAAAAACGCAATTCTCATTTGAGCAATGAGCTAATGCAAATGAGAGAAACTGTAATGTTTAAAGGTCACATTTTATCTTCCTTTTTCACCAGTTCAAATAAGTCTCAGAGCTCCCCAAAACCTGCCTGTGAAGTTCCTTGAAAAAAATCCACTCTGATCCTGTACTTTACATGTCTATAAACCCCTCTATTTCAGCCCTGCTCAGAACAGACTGTTTCTGTGTCTGTACCTTTAAATATGTAAATGAGCTGTGTCTAACCACGCCCCCTCTCTGGAAGCAGATGTGGCTTCGTTTTTCTCTCTCCATGTCCTATTGTTTACGGTGAGAAGGCAGACTCAGAGGGCAGAACAAACACCTAGCTGTGGGAGTGTTACCCACCTGGGAGAGGGGCTACTGCCCTTTGTGATGTCACAAAGGGAAAATCTCCAAACGGCCTGTTTGAGCACACATTTTCTGAAAAGTGGAGCAGGCAGAAGACGGAGTGGATGAACTTTTCTAATTCTCCTCATAATTGGGAGAAACTAATGACACATTACAGTTAAAACATGGTGAAGTGTATTTAGCATAATTTGTGACCTTTAAAGAATCAGCCTGATATTTGCTGTGTCACAGCTCCCCCTGCTGGACAAAAAAGCAGATGTGAAGCATTTTTTAATTTTTTTTATAAATGAGCTCAGGGGGTGTTATTCATAGAACAGTGCTTAGGACCAGACTAAAAGAGTGCATACAAACAAAACCTGAAAAAGGTGGACATCAAAAAGGTTTCAGAGTTATCAAATCATGCACACATACACACCTGCATACAATGTTTCCTTTATAAATCACAATCCACCCCTAAATGCACACACAAGGATCAGCTTTTTATTCTGCCCTTTAATAACCACATTGAACCATATGACCAATGTAAAGCACACTATAAATGAAAAATGAGCCGAAAGATCGAGATTGGTGGATAATTTGCTTGTATCGCTTCTGTTGTTTATTAGAAATGTAAAGCTCTGTCAGACTGACGCCTGAATCACAGAGACCACTCTTTGGCTTGGGCACTTATCATTTTCAGGACTCCACAGAGCAAGCTTATTTGAAACTTAAAAAAAGGTTTTTAGTGTAACAGCTAACCTGCTAAGGAGCAGGTTCACTTCAGAGGGACGACAGCTCGACCGATCAGATATGTCCTGTCGATCAGTCTCCAGACTCTGCCTCTCTGATGAAGATCAATCTGAGATTAAAAGATAGGACAGCAATTCAACACACTGAGGACATCTGGAAATGTTTCATAATGACTTTATTAAAGAAGTTTTGGATCAGTGAGTTAGTCAAAATGTATCCACTAAGACGTTAATAAAAACGGATGAATTCTGTATTTTCTTAAACTAAACACACACACACACACACACACACACACACACACACACACACACACACACACACACACACACACACACACACACACACACACACACACACACACACACACACACACACACACACACACACACACACACACACACACACAGGACATTAAATACGACTACATTATATGTGCAACCTTAACCTATAGCACCCAAGAGTCTGTGGGCTGCAACGTATTTTAAACAATTAATACACGGTAATAAGCTGAATACAACAACTGTTAGCATGCTAATGCTAACTGATGCGGTGGTGTATGTCCACAGTGCAGCTGCGTGAAACGAAATTAAATATCAGACATGCTTCACTTCCGCTGAACATTTAACGTTTAAAATACATTATTTATCTTTCGTGTAAGGTTGAATTTCTCATGAGTTACCTGACTACTGGCGTCACGATCACAGCAGCCTGTGATCCGCCAGTCGGTCAAACACTTTCTTCTTCTACTACTGTCACTGTATCAGACTTCGCCCAAACTACTGCTGCTACCCCCAGCGGGCACAAGCGGCAATATCACATTGTTACGAGTTTGAATAAATTACAGGTGTAAAATGGGTAATGTTAACCAATTTACCTGAATCAAATTATCAATGAGTCACATCGAAATTATTTACACAGTAAAACAAACACATGAAATCACATTACTAAATCAGGATGAGAAAACGACTCGCCAAGCTCATCGACTGTAAAAAGCTCCTTTTTTTTAACCGTCTTTATTGACAAATTTAACATATACAAAAATGTTTATACAAACTCTTATAGAGGATGGACATACAACAGCAAAATACACAGGAACAAGTTAATAAAAACATAAATCAAGACTAGGGGGGTTATATATTTGCCTATAACATCAGGCAAATGTAAGCAGACAACAATCTGGAGCAAGGACAAAAAAATTCTACAAGGGCCAGAAATCAAAACAACAAGAATTTCGATAAGTCAGCACTATAATCTTTCTAACAATCCTGCAAGATTTCATTTTTCTCAGAGATAAGAAAAAATATTTGAAATCATTTATAAAGCAGTCAAAGGAGAGTTTGCTGTTTCTCCTCTTACTACAGTGAATATGATATTTACTCATGAGTAAAATAACATTTACCATGTCAGTAATTGAAGGGTTTAAATTATACATAAAATAGAGAATACTATAAGTACTGTACTGTAAAAGGTAAAAAGCTATAGAAGAGGGTTACAAACTTGTCCTGCGCATGCTCAACACTTGTTTCGCTATTGGCTGAAATTAGTTCAGTTATGATAAGGCGGGACTTCCTGAATTTGTAAAGTTCCTGATTGGCTGCTCCACCGCAGACCGGGAATATTTTGAATGTAACTGGGTGTGATTTTACGGCTTGTGTTTTTCAAACTTACTGAACAGACCCCGGCCCGCTAACTTTTAGTTAGGTGAGGTTTAAATCATTATTTAAATTATTGATGGAACTGGACGCAGGAGGAAAGCAGTCTGCTGACATGGCGGACTTTGTGGTGGAGGATCTGGAGTCCTTCGTGAACGTTGAATTGGAGGTGGACAAAAACAGCCAGACTTCTGAACACAGCATGTCCGTCATTAGTCAAGGTCTGTACACCGTTTTAATGTTATAATGTCGAAATACTTTTCAATGCACGTAGTTTGCAGTCAGTTTTCTGTATTAAATCGGGATATGGTGTTCAAATGTTGTGCCTTTGTGTTTGTTGTTCAGTATTTTGGAAAGCTTTAATCATTGACCCTACAGAAAGCATCATGAAATCAGCTGCTGATAATTAATATCTGTCTACAGTTCTGGAGAAGTGAGGCTGGTAGAAAAAGACATGCCTTTCTTTAGACTCAAACTTTACCAGGGTTTTGTCCTGAAATATAACTTTGCTTTCCAGCTTTTATACTCTTAATACACCAGACCATTTGTTTTAGGACCCATTATTCAAATAGAGCCACATCTAATGATACATTCTATCTCTATATCCATTAAATCCAAAATGAGCATCATTTTGTCTGTGACATTCATCACAAGTGTTGATCTAGACAGGAGGGGAAATTTACCAACCCCTGCTCCATTAATCTGAAGAAAAACAACTACTGTGAAACTGTCCAGTTCTCTGTCAGACTGGTCAGTGCCATCTCTTTACTGGTTCTACCTGTTTGAAGAACACTGGCGACGAAAGCTCATTGAGAAAAACATGTTGTTCTTTCTCCAATTCTACAATTCACTTAGCAGACGCTTTTATCCAAAGCGACGTACATCAGAGAGTAAGAACAACACAAGCAAGGATCTAGAAAAAAGGGAACAATGTCAGTAAGAGCAAACGATCAGCTTTGAGTCCGATTGGACACACAGGTGCTGACAGGAAGTGACCAGAAGCAAAGCACAACATTGACGGCAGTTCTTGAGAGCTCTAATCAGTATAGAAACCATCTTATAAGTCATCGTTATCAAACAAAAACCATCATCATTACCATCATCATCATCATCATCAATAATATGGAGACCATCATCATTAAGTTAGTAGGTATTCATGAAGGAGCTGGGTCTTTAGCTTTTTCTTAAAGGTGCAGAGGATACTCTTCTTTAGTGGAAGAAAAATCTTCTGCAGGTGTTTAATAATCCATCTGTGTTTCTCCATTAGCTTTGTTTCAGAATGAAGAGGAAGTTGAAAGTGACAGTGAAGATGATGATGATGATGATGACGACAGTGGCACTGACCACTTTAACTGTGCGAGGGGCGGGACTCAGCTGCAGAGGTGTGAGCGGCGATCAGGACTAAACTCAGGTGTTCCTGACACCTTTCAGACGAGTCACCTGCTGTTCTACGAGAGGTTCAAGGCCTACCAGGATTACATGCTGGGTACATACACACACACAATAACACACACAGACAGAATCCTAGTCCCATGCACACAAACTATCATTTAATAATGCCATCTTCTACATGTGTTTGTGCGTATGTAGTTTCCAGGGCTATATACCAGATATATACACACACAACACTGCAAACTTAAATATGCTAACATTAAATCAGATATTTATGCAAATGTACACAATATGATCATAGATGGATTACACACCAACATACACACACACACACACACACACACACACACAAATAAACAATAATGATTATAATGGCAATAATAATATTGATGTGTGTGCAGGAGACTGTAAGCCTTCTGAAGTGAAGGCGTTCACCGCAGACTACCTGGAAAAGGTGTTGGAGCCACGTGATTGGCTGGCTCTGTGGTGCACTGATGTCTTCGATGTTGTGGTTGAGGTAAGAAAAGTCTCTGTTAATACTCAGGTTTAACGATAAAGCGCAAAGACATTTTTTAGTTCAGTCTTTCTATGCTGTACTTGGTTTCTGTCTTTTCCTCTACATTCAAAAATCATCATTTTTTTGATCATGGTTTTTTTTCTCTGCACACATCCTCAGAAGATTGTTGATTTCCTCCTGGTATAAAATAAGCATTCTGCAGACAGTAATCAGGGCGCACTCACACTAGGCCCAGTTGTCCTGTGCTGTGCTGTGCTGTGCTTAAGCACGATTGTCCCCCCCTCCTCAATTCCCCCGCCGGCCTGCACTCACACTGCTCCCGGACTAACCGGGCCTGATCATGGTTACCTCTTGTACATACCATCATAATACAACACATGCATTTCCTTTCCGCACATTGATTGACAACAATACAGAGACCAAGACTGCAACTTTATTGACATTGTGGCTTATTTTGAGTCGGATACAGCCTAAAGATTTCAGGATTTCTTGGTAATGGAAGGCTGTCCACATTGTGTAGCCGTGCTTGTGCTCGTGCATGAACTGTACCGTGCAGAAACACACCTGTTCCAAGCATGCCAAGGCAGAGGAAGTGCAACATGCTTGAGCACGGATTGGAGCACTAACACCCTAACATTAGTCAAACGAACTGGACTTTGAGGGTGAAGCGTGCGTGACAACTGGGCCTAGTGTGAGTGCGCCCTTAGTATGCATTTAAGAGAGAAAATCTGTCATGTTTAAGACCTAAAGAGAGAAAACAGCAATTGAAGTTTCTTGGTGAGCTGCATGTGTGAACGCAAACAGGCAAATTTATTACCTTATCCAGACTTTTTCTTGTCAGCCCTCTATTCAAATTCCATGTCAAGTCAGGGTGAGCTGATATGTGAACTGTGCAGGTAATATCCAGGAAAATTCACCGCTGCCTGGCATGGAGGGGTGGATTTTTTTATGTCATGTCTTGCCTCCTGAGACCCCCCCTCCCATCTGACAGGGAAAACTTTAGGCTTGGAGGGACAAATATGAATACCAATTTAGGAAAATTTCAGGGACAGGCTGTCCTGAAAATCTTAGTCAATTTTATTTATACAGCACATTTCATATGACAAGCATAGACTCAATGTGCTGAAAAAAACATGATGATGTAGAGAGATGTTCTGGTGCTGAAAACTAGTGGGTTAAACATACATTTAAATTCAGACTAACCAACTAGTCTAAAGGAAAGAAAACACTCAGAAAACTGTTAACTGTCTGGGAGTAAGCGAGGTAATCTGGTTTGCTGAGTGTGGCTGATATAAGCAGTGCTAACACCGCCAGCCTTCAGTCCTCCCTGCAAGTAAACATCTGCATGCTGCCCTGCACTAAATGTGGTTAAGCATTGTATTATTCACTGTGCTTATTTATATTCGTGTAGTACAGCCTGGAGAAAAGCCCATTAACCAGGACTACAGCCAGTCTATGGATTATCTATGATGTATTTGTGTTTTTGAAGATCCCGTGTCCTCATCTGTGTTTTCAGGTGCGGGACTTGGACCTGAAGGACCTCAAGGCGTGTGTGCGGCTGGTTCTTCCTCTGCAGTGTGAAACACGTGGCTGTGAGCTCTCTGAGGAGGCCATGACAGCATTGCTGGAGGCCACGCAGCATCGAGTACTCCTGCAGGAGCTGCACGTGGTCTATGACTCTTCCGGGGACTTTGACCATACCGCCCTGGCCCTGGAACACCTCAGGTGAGCCTTTGCAGGTCATACTCTGATCAGGGCCTCACCCTGTGTCAGGTGTGATAATGTTCTCCATCTTCTGCTGTGTGCAGGTTCTTCTACAAACACATCTGGAGGCAGTGGGATGAAGAAGATGAAGACGATGACTTTGATTATTTTGTGCGCTGTGTGGAGCCTCGTCTGCGCCTGTGAGTGCTCTCTCTGATCAAGGTGAAGGTTTGTCCTCCTCCTCATCACTCTTTCATTAACACCTGTCTTCTCACAGGTACTACGACATCCTGGAGGACCGGGTCCCTGCAGGTCTGGTGTCAGAGTACCAGTCCTTACTGGAGTCCTGCTCCAAGGTCTTCCAGCAGTTCAGCGCTCTGCGCAGTGAGCTGGTTTCAGACTCGGACTCTGAGCTTGATAACATATCCATGGTGGAGGGTCTGAAGCTGTGCGACCAGCTGGAGACACTGCGCCGCAAGCTGCACATCATCGAGAACCC